CTTCAGTTATTTTTTTGCCAACATTGGTTCTATTAAACATGCATGTATTTCTCAAAGTAATTTTTTTTCCCCTAAAAGTACATTCCTGCCCCAGGGACATAGTGATCTGCCCAGTTTCCTAAGTAACAGTGCAGTTTTAACAACTCACCTGATCTTTCAGTTACCTGCAGTAAAAAATAAAATAGAAATGTTGTGTTTATGTGTGGGTATACAGAATACTCTTTGAATTAATTGTTAATCTCCAGCATTCATCTTCACGTTTATAATATGAATTTAGTGACTTTTCCTGAAGAATTTTTAAAGAGTGTATTTGTTGCTTTTAATGCTCATTTCCTCCCATAAATTTTTTCGGCAAATGCTGCGAAATGTGACACTTTTAGGGGAAGTACTGGCCTGGCATTCATGCTGCGAAAGGAGTAATGCCTAAAGAATACCGAGGCCCCAAGCAGATGAAACAGAACAAGCGGAGCCTATTTTTTTCTCGAAGTTAATTACTTATATACTGGTGAACAGTACTTTAATCTAAATTTATAATCATTTAAATCATTCTGTTCTTTAAGTTAAATATTTAGATCTCTTTTATTGACTAGCTTATTAGCTTTGGCAATTTGTTATTTTTTTAACTCAGTAATTTTCACAGTAGGTAGAAGCTTACCAGTATTATTTGAGAAATTTCAAAATAAACATATTACTGATACTTTTCTCACCCCAGCATGGTGGGAAGTGTTTATTTTGTAGAAGCTTCTTACGTCATTCTGATAGTCATGTGTCATTCTAATTGAGAAGGCTAGCTTGCACTTAGCCTTTTTTGCCCTCTGCATAATTAAAAGGTCCTCTCCTTTACATATAGTATATAGTTTGCAACACAAAAAACAACTGTATACTGCTCTTAAAAAAGAGTTTTTAAAAATCTAGTTAAATCTCCTTTCTATCTGTAGGGAAGGGGTTCTGTGTGTTGGTAAGAAGAGGAAGCTCAGACTGTTTTTCTTGTCCTTTGTGGTACCTCGTGCATTGTCCCTTTTCAGTTTTTGTCTTGTGAGTAGACAGTGATACAGTCAGAGTAAAATAACACAAATTAAAGAAATAACGTTAAAAAGAAAAGGAGCCAAGGTTGTTAAATACACCTAAGTGAAAATGGGGGTGGGGGAAAAGTCAGTTTCTTTATTTTTCCTTCTTTATATTAATTATGTCTACAGTTGACTGATGTTATTGTTTTGGGATAAACAAAAAATTGGAACAACTTCTTGAATAGGAAACTGAGGCTGGAGCATTTGCCTGCTCCCATGCTCAAGTTCCCAAAAATAACTCAGGGAGCCTTTCAGCCCCATACAGATTATTCTTTGTTCCTGAACGGGGCTGTCCTAATGTTCTGGATGTGCTCTGTAGAATGCAGGTTTCATTTCCTGTCTCTAATCTTGCTTCAAGCACCCAGCTGCTGCTCTGCTTCCCTCAGGCTTGCTCTAGGTTCTCTCCCTTCTTTGTCCTTTAAGAGTCTTCCCAAGCAGACAGAGCCCTCAGGGGAAAACAGATTTTCTCAAGCTATAAACTCTGTCATTACTAGTGTTAACTTAGAACCAAAAAAGAAAGGAAATGTCTTAATGTCCTTCTATAACAATTTGACTGTTTCTCTTCCTTCCCCAGATCTTTACTAGGAAGGGCCATAGGGAGCGACAAATATCCCTTCTGTACTTTGCCCTGAGATGCGATGTTATTCTACCTCTTAGGAAATAGCTCTCCAACTTGGATGTGGTCCTAACAGGAATGTATTAAGAAGAAAGGAGCATTAAACTGAATTTTAGAAATGAGCATGACTCCTCTTTATCCCTGCCTCAGTTTCCCTGTAATTCAGATTCTGTAACTAGAAAAGCTGTGCAGCTGGAAATAAGATTTGGCTACAAGGTCCGTTAGGGAAGAGACTGTTCCATTCACCACCATGTATACCCCAGTGCTTAGTAACAACTCAGTGAACAATAAGATGAAGCAACAAAACTTCTGAGTAGAAAGGAAATAGTCCACATAAAAATATATACTTTTACAAGACGATTGACTTAATAAGTTACATTATGTGGTTTCTTCCCTAAGTTATAACCAGAGAAATTTATAAAATTTGAAGGATTTAGAACATTCAAAGTAGTTATAGGAGTTGGTATGGGGTAGTAGAAGTAGAATATTTACTGCAGAAAGGAGTAACAGGCTGGAGGCTTAGCAGTTGGAGGTCATTTAACATAGGGGCAATTAACTCTGAAGCCCTTAACATCACTGAGCAGGGAAGAGTGGGGAACCCGTGGCCCAGAGGGGCAGGATATTGTAAGGACCACCTAGCCTTTGAGCCCACAGCAGTCCTCTCAGGACATTGTAGAGTATAGTGCTGCAAAATAACCTATGTGCATAGTAGTAGGTAAGTATACTTATTTTCATTTTACTAAAAGAAATAAGCATTAAAATGCACTGTAATGGTTAAAAATTTAAATATTTTGGTGCATACGTGGTTACATCTTTTTACTTCAAAGTGCGTCATTCCTTTAAAAATGTGAGATAATACTGGCTAGGTCCATAAAAGAGTAATAATATGTGTTTTTAACCATCTTACTGACATATATCAAGCATGCAAAGCTGTGAAAATGATGGATGGCATGTAAATAAAAGGCAGTATTTGTTTAGTTCAGCCCAAATTGATACTCTGAGAATATCTTAAAGCCTTTTTCAGTATTTTTCTTATGCTTTTCATTTTGCATCTGTTTGGCAAAACTCGGCATTTTGTAAATATTGATCTTGAAGTTGCAATGTTTTTTAGTTAATTGAAGGACAATATACCGAAGGACAATATAACATACCGAGAAGTTTATAGAGAAATATAATATATGCTTGATGAATTTTCATGAAGTCCCATCCAAGTAACCAGCATTTAAATCCAGAAACAGAATATTACCAGAAAGGACTCCAGAAGCTCCTAGTCACTGTCCCCTTCCCCATATCACCATAGCTGAGAGGTGACCACTGTCCTGATGTCTAACAACATAGTTAAGTTTGAAGAAATGGTGTTAACATTTAATCTAAAGAGTTTTGAGGAGTCCTTTAATGAGCTTAAAGGTAAAGAAGAAAGAGCATGAATATAAACTGTTACCCTTTGTTTGACTTGTTTCAGGAGAAGAAGGATTGAATTAGAGCAAAGTGCTTAGACAGTTTGAGTTTAGGTCTGAATGTACTCAAATACCTTGCTTGTAGAGAAAGTGGAAACACTATCCTGTACATTTCTCTGTTTTGAGGACCAACAAAATTGTATAATTTTCTTTTCTGCCTGTGTCTGACATCAAAGGAAATTACCACCTCTGCATTTAGACTAAAGGCATGTCTACTTTTGACATTCTGTCATCTGTCTTATTATTAAATCAGCATGCTGATTTAAACTTATTTCCAGGATTTAGGTAAGGTATAAAAAATGAATTGGTTACCCTACTTGACACATTTATATTTACATTGTACTTTGAGGTTTTGGAATTAACTATTCATAGGATACTTAATAAAGTTAATTCTTTTTCCATACAGAAGACAGTGATCAATGAAAGGTGATTTGGACGGCCTTTTCCAAACCACAGGCTTTATATTGTACATCTCTGCCTGTTTTAGTGTTCTTTACATTCTAAAAAAAGTCATGATTTCAGTCAGATTTCTATTTTTCCTTGTTTATAAATTGAATTGACTCTTAAGCTTTTGCTATTTAAAGAATGGGCACACGCATGCGTGTGTGTGGGTGTGAGAGAGAGCGAGCCAGCACCCATGTGTATGTATGGGTGCGCACTTTTAAACTTGTGAAAGTGGCCTGATTGGGGCCCTCTCAATAGGAAAATTTGTCTTGTTGCCTTGCTAACTAAATTCTCCTAAGTTTGACTGTGGTTCCAGTTTTAAGACTATTAAGTTGTGAGACTTGATCCCTAGCTAGGACTACCGATTAGGAGTTCATCTGGTATAATTTTATTAGTTTTCTTTTTATATGTATGTATACTACCTATTTTTTTAAAATTGCGATAAAATACACATAATATAAAATTTACCATTTTAATCATTTTACTTGTACAATTGGCTATTTAGTTTTTAGAACTTTTATTTGTAACATTTCTAGTCAGCAAATATTTAATGTGCCTTCTGCTGAGGTTGGTGTAGATCATTGGAAAATTATGAAAGAAATATAAATATGACCACTGTTCTCAAGGAGATTAAGCCTCATTAGAGAAAAAAGATACATGTACGGCAGTTAAATAATGATTCAGGGTAGATAAGGGCCTTGAATGTTCAAGGAAAGCTTTGCAACTTGGTCCTTAATCAGAGGTAGGATCTGTCTGGTTTGAGAGGAAGGAGGAACAGGAGAATTAAATAGTACACTAGCTATTTCAGTGTTAAGACCATTGTCTTTCAGAGAATCTTTTGCTTTTCTAGCTTTGAAGCTCTCACTGTTTTGTTTTTAAAATAAGCTGAACATTCAGATGAAGAGACGTATTATTAGCACATAATTTATATTTTAAAAAAATCACAGGAACCAAACTTGCCATACAGACACTACTAAAAATCTAGATGTATAGTGATAGAAGGGTTAAGCTTTCTATTAAAATTCTATGCAAATACTTGTGTTCATGCAGCATTAAAATTTTCAATATATTACCGCTTGGGAGTAGATATTTCATTAGGAGTTTAGAACAATTGCGGTTGTAGTTTTTATGAAAAATAATTGTATAAAAATCAGCATGTAATGAAACATTTACTGAAATTAATCTTGAATGTCTGCTATTCTGAAATCAGGTAAAGAGTTTAAAATGGGTATATATTGTAAGTAAAGAGTGAGTTATAGTGAATAATCTTGCACTGACACTTGATGGCAAAGGATGGTGCCCATTTCATTAGTATGTGTCTGTAATGGGTCAAGGATTTCATCCAGGTTGACTATAATGCCTTAAACAGTAAGAATTACAAAGTTAAAACAATATAGTTTTTTTTCACATCTGCAGACAGGCAAACATACATTTAGGACCTCCATGTTCACGTGACATCAAGAGGAAACGGAAGCCAGTGGCCACAGCATCTCTGTCTAGCCCAAATTCAGGTAATTATATGTAGTTATTTATTGAGCACCTACTGTGTGTCAGGCACTGAATTATATTTTTTATATACCTTTTCATGTAACCTTTATAAGATAGGTCATTTTATTTTCATTTTACATAGAAAAACTGAGAGTAAGAAGTGTGATTTGACCAAGGTTACACATATTTTAAGAATTCAAACCTAGTTCTCTCTGACCTTACAGTCTTATGTTTTTTTCATTGTGTCACATGACTTTCTTGAGTTTGAATCCCTCTATTTCACTCTCAACAATCTTCAGTCATCTACACTTTGTTCTAGCACAGATAAGAAATTAGGTCTCTGTTGAAAATCCCATTAGGGTGGCAGTGTTTTAGTCCATAGCCAAAGAGCCATATGGGTTTATTTACTTTCTTATTTAATATACAGTACATTATTCTCACTGTCATGTATAGAGAATGCTAATATTTTAGCAGTCATGAGATTTCTAATTAAAAACAATTTTATGGGATGGCTCCATAGTGTAGTGGTTAGCACGTCTGCTTTACACGCAGAAGGTCCTGGGTTTGCCCCAGGTGGAGCCACGGACCATATACCCAGGTGCGCCAGGCCTCCAGAGTGCACTGGGGGTGCCAGGTCCCGAGTGCACGCCACGAGTGCGTGGGAGGAGACACCCCGCCTTCAGAGATCTAGTTCTTATAAAATGAAAAAAAGGGGGACGGCAACATCCGTAGGTCGGGGGTGGAAGTGGGCGGCGAGGGGGATTAAAGACGGGGGGAAAAAAACAATTTTACAAGTTAAAACCTTTAGTTTCCTGGGCAAAAGTTGTTGATAGAAAACAAAATAATAGTAATGTCTGTTAGGGGGTAGTGACCAGGAAAGGACATAAAAAAAGTCTTCTGGGACACTGGAAACGTTCTGTATCATGAACTAGGTGGGGATTACATGAGTATATACATATGTAAAGATTCACTGAGCTGTACATTTGTGATTTATGTACTATATGTATATTATCCTTAAATGAAAACAAAGGGGAATAGTTATGTATTTATTATATCAGCAAGAATATTGGATGTCTACAGATTGGGTTTTTTTTGGAGTTAAGAGAAGATAGTTAAATGTAATCAGTAATCATAGGAAATCCTTTATGTTATTTCAATACAATTTCGGGTGTATTGTTCTGGATAAATACCTACAGTTATTCTTTTTCTTTTTTTATTATATTAGTTTCCGGTGTACAACACTGTAATTCGACATCTGTATACACTACAAAGTGATCACCTTCAAAAATCTAGTTACTTTCTGTCACCATACAATTGACCTCCCTTTCCTGTTTCACCCATTCCTCTCTGGGAACCACTGATCGCTACAATTATTTTCTTGATGGTAGTGAATTCATTCTGTGAGAATTTAGTATATCACAGATTATTTTCTTCAGAAAATACTCTAAGTTATAATAAAATACTATATATTATACAAATTATATACAGATCAGGGCAGTTGATAGTTGAATAGAGAGTAGACCTATGACAGATAGGGAACTCCCCTACCTTTACATAGTAAGTTTCAGCATGGTCTGAAATTCACCTCTTTGAGCTTCTGTTTGGGACAACTGCTTGATAATGTTTCAGACTGATTATCATGATAATGGACAATCTTAATCACAGGTCTTATGATTATAGTAAATTTTTTCAGTGATTTCCACATGGCTATGCCCTGAGCTAAACCTTTGCATGCATCATTTTACTTAATCTTTGCAACAACTTTATAAAGTAGATGCTGTTTCTATTCCCAATACACATGAGATATTTGAGGCTTAGAGAGGTTAATCACTTCCCCGAGGTCACTTGGTTGATAAATTGCAGAGCCAAGGTCAGACTGGTTTTCCTGTGACTCTTAAACACTGCAGGTGTTCTCTCTTATATACTATAGGATTGGTTCCAAACTATGACTTCTCATCAAAACCCAGATCCTCATCCAGTCTGTGGTATTGGAAGCATTAAAACACAGTCTCCCTTCTTTTATATTTTGGCTCTTTTTTCTCCTTAAAATCTAGCTTCTATTTTTTGCTTTTAATTGTTTATGAGAGAAGAATTGTTGAGAAGAGTTTAAAATCCTTTCCATGTTCAAATCGGTAAATGTTCTGGGAGGTATTAAAGGAGACTTGAGCATGAAACGTCTCCCCTACTGAGCCCAGCTCCTCTTTTCACTTGTTGACTAAGGCTTGCTTCACTGACTGTTTCCTTTTTTTTATATCCATAACCTGAGTGCCCCATGGAGGTGAAGGACATAGCCTGAGCCTGTGCCATCAGTCAGTAGAACAAATGGGCTTGCTCTGCCTAACATCGGGGCATCTCGGATTCCACCTCTTTTGTAGAAATGAGTGATGAAGAGAGGTGCGTTCTGCTTTGCCGCTGTATTAATACACATCAGGGGCCAGCTCCTGGCACTAAATCACGCTACTGCATACATCTGTTATCAGATTCTTCACCAGTGTGATGAACAAGACTGCAGATAGAGGCTTCCTTGTGTCATTCTTTATAGGATTTTCCTAAAAGAATAAATAGCTCAGATCTCTGCCAACACTCTCCCCTGTCACTGTGATGAATTCAGCTTCTTTCTTAAACATGCAGCCACAAATCTTTTGCCTTTCCCCCTCACCCACCGGTGGAAAGTTTTGAGTTGAAATTGACTGAATTTAATAAGGCTAGAGAGATGAAGAACAGAAAGGAATAGCATGTCTTTCTTGTCTTTTTGTACTAATATTAACAAAAAGCCATATGGTCATCAAGTAGATCTTTCTTGAAAGCGTAGCACTTTTATTTTCTTCTTTTTATGTCCACTCCCCTTCCCTTTATGGCTTAATAGCACACAGGTGTCTGGAGCACAGAGTCACGGGAGATCTGACTGAGTAACCACGTAAACTTGCTTCTAAGTCCGATACACCAGAACAGGCAGTGCTCAGCAAGTGACTGCCTCATGCTGAAGTGAATTTGCTGTATGTGCTCTTAAAGAATGTAACTGGAAAAGCAAAAAATGGGTTATTTTCCCCAAATTTGAGGTAGCTATAAAAACATAAAGAACTCAGATGAAAACCAGACTTCATTTCCTTGAGATGATTTTTTTTCATCAGAATGGCAGAACGGAGCCTTTGGTGCACAAATCCCATTTCTTCAAAAGTAAATATATGGCTTTAGATAAAGGAGAATTGGGATGACAAGATGTTGTATTCAGAGCCCCGACTATTTTCGCCACCTGAAAGCCTTTTCTGACTTTCCTCTCTGGAATGGGATACGCGTCCTTAGAGCATCAGTCAGAAGGGTATCCAACAAGTAACCTGTTAATTAGCTATACCAGATTCCAAATACCAGGCCAGTGATGCTGAAGGTGCATTTGCAAGGGCAGGAATTTTTATCTGTTTTGCTAACTGCTATAGCCCCAGCAGCTAAACTTACTGCTCAGAATATGGAATGCTCTCACTAGATATTGTATGAATACGTGAATAGGCTCTTAAAGTTGAAACAGAATTATCCTCAGTATTATTCTAACCCTATGATTGGATTCAGTAGTTCTGTTTTATATTGGCCCTTGTCTCAGGAGCCATGGGGTAGATTCTTATTGCCCACTACATCTTTTTAAAGTTTAAATGGTTTCTAAAGTTAAAAAAATGTTTTTTTATTTTTTTAGTAAATATAGAATGACTATAAAAGAGCATTATAGAAAATATATAAGGTGTAAAGAAAACAAAACAGTGAATATCCACATATCTACCATCTACTTTAAGAAAAGAACATCAACTTTAAAATCTTTTTTCTGCTCTCAGAGGTATCTATTATCCTGATACATTTTTTAATCACTTACGATTCTTTGTGTTTTTCAAATTGTTTTCAAATAGTTATCTCTAAGCAATGTATTGTATAGTTTTGCATGTTTTTGAACTTTGTGTAAATGGAATGTCATTTTTTATAAGTTAAAAGTTTCACCAAGTTATATTTTTACGATTCATTCTTGTTTTGTCCTGCTAAAAGCCATTCATTTTTTTTACTGCCACATATATGGTATTCAATTTTATGAATATGACAAATATACTACAATTAAATATTCGTGGTGGACATTTTGATTATATCCCACTTTATGCTATTGTGGAAAACACTGCATTGTTCTGTGGGAGAACATGTACAAAAGTTTTTTCTAGTCTACACTTCGTAGGATGGCTATGTCAAAAAAGAGAGAACAAGTTTGGGAAGGATATGGAGAAATGGAACCTTTTTGTGTTGCTGGTGGGAACGTAAAATAATGCAGCAGTTCTGGAAAAACAGTATGGCAGTTTCTCAAAAATCTAAAAACTACCATATGATTCAGCAATTCTGCTTCTGGGTTTATACTCAAAAGAATTGAAAGCAGGGATTCAAACAGATATTTGTACACCTATGTTCATAGCATTTTTCACAGTAGCCTAAAGAAGGAAACAACTCAGATGTTCATTGCTAGATGAATGGATAAGCAAAATGTGGTATATACATACAGTGGAATATTATTCAGCCTGAACACCTTCATTATTCAAAGTGAAATTCTAATACATACTACAGTGTGGATGAAGACATAATGCTAAGTGAAACAAGCCAGACACAAAAGGACAAATATTGTTGATTCCAGCTGTATGAGGTACCTAGAATAGTCAAATTTTACAGAAACAGAAAGTAGAGTGGTAGTTGCCAGGGATTGGAGGAGGAGGAGAATGAGAAGTTGATGTTTAATGGGCCTGATTATGTGGTTTTCTATTATTTTCCTTATTGTCCACTATTCATGGGGTGTGATGGAATTTTCATTTGGGATGACGAAAAAGTTCTGGAGATGGATGGTGGTGATCGTTATTTAACAATATAAATGTACTTAATGCCACTGAATTGTACACTTAAAATTATTAAAATGATAAATTTTGTTATATTTTTTACCATAATAAAAAATATGTAGCCAAAAAAAAGGTTTTTTCTAGAGTAGGGTTTTTTCACTGTAGTTGATGACTATATATTAATGATTAATATAGTGAAATGTGTGTGTGTGAGAGAGAGGGAGTTTGATTTGGGTTGTGATATAAAATATATTTCTGGCTGTTGTAGATTGAGGTTTCAAAATGTTTGAAAGCCTCTGCTCTCAAGAAACTCTTATATATGTGCCATAGAGTAGTAGTTTTCAAGATTTTTTTTTTTTTTTTGGCAGTAGCTCACTGTAAGAATGATAAGTGTGTGTACATGTAAATCCGAAATAAATCCTTGAGTATACTTTGATATTCTTTTATTCCTTTTCACTAAGGAAAAAAAAACTACTGGTCATGACTCACTAAATCAGTTTTTGTGATCCACAGTTTGAAAATTACTTGGTTACGTTCCTTTAGTGGAATTATTTGAGTGACAGGGTAAAAACAAGACTGCTAGATTTCGCTATATGTTAGTGTGTACTCACTCTCAACAGTGTGGGTGACATGGTGGTTTGTGCTACTCCGCTCAGGGGCACTTGGAAAGGTGAGGACAGTGTTTGTCTCTTACAGTGATTCGGCATTTGGTTGGTAGGGTCCAGAATGGTTAGTGTCCTTGTTGAAAAACTGGGCCTGATTATGTGGTTTTCTATCATTTTCCTTATTGTCCACTATTCATGGGGTGTGATAGAAGGAGCATAGGGCTCGGAGTCAAATATCTGAGTTTAAATCTTTCTACTTAACAAGCTACATTATATTCCTGAAGAATTTATCTGCCTCTCTGGCTCAGTTTTCAGATCTAGAAAATGGAGATGACAATACCTACTTAGAGTTTGCTTTAGGAAATAAGATTATCAGCGCAGTATTTACACAGTATAGTGCCTAGCAGGTAAGTGCTTAATAAGTTATAGTTACTACATTATGATTTCATACTACTGAATTTATTTGTTTGTTCAGTTAAACTCATTTTCTCAGGTAGAGAAATATTTACCTTACTTTAAATCTTGCCGTCACTTCTTTGTAAAGAAAAAAGTATGTTGGCGCTTGGGTTAATAGGGTGGGCATAAGGTAAAAGGATTAAGAAAATTTTGCTTTAAAAGTCTCTCATTCTAATTTGTCTCCCCTTAATTTTTTTTTCTACTTTCATGATTACAATTTTACTAGTTCACTTGGATGCAATGGAGCCAACTACACCAGCATCACAAGCCCAGGAATCTCCAAACTCTGAGTGGTTGGTCAGGACCTCTGCCACAGAGAAAGCCACTGATTCAACTGCGGCTACGTTTTTTAAAATGCCACAAGAAAAGAACCCTGGGTGCAACTAGAGAGCAGTATTTTACCTACCAGAAGCCACCTGGGTGTCTTGAAACACATATTAGGCTTGTATTATATAGTCTTGCATATCTTAGTTGACATTCTCAGTCTGCTCATCACCAGGACTGGATCCTTTCTCTTTAACAAAACAGTGGACTCTCTCTTAGCAAATCATGATGTGGAAATCTGTTGTGTTGTTGTTTGTTTGTTTTTTTCCTTTTTTTTAACATTAGAAAAGTATTGGGGCAGCAATTTTTTTTTTTAAGTCATCTTATGCTATATTTGTTACATTGCTATTGCTGCCTCAACAGCTACCTACAGCTTTGTTTATAGAGCTGTTGCTTTTTTGCAGGTATGTCTCTTTTTTTTGAAAAACTGGTATCTTTTTACATACTCTGTGTAGAGCTTTAATTTCATTTGGGGAAATCCCAAATTTGCAGCCAGTTCCAGACACATTTAAACACTGAATTAAGACCTGTGTGTGGAATAGTATTTGCAGGAGGTAAGGCTTGCTTGCCTTTGAGCCTGGCCTTGATTACTCAGAGTTCTTGATTCGCTCAGAGTGCCAATAAGGTCTCAATTAGGAGCCTCAGAAGACAGACCAACAGGACGGGACTTGGGAACATCTTTGTCTTCTAAATGACCTAATGGGATCGCCTGCAGCTTCATTGTACTTTGCCTCATCTACAAAATTCGTGTTCTACACACACACACACACATTGGTGTAATGAAGATGTTTTAGCTGTACAGCAAACTTAAAATAGTCGATTGTGTCTTAATACTTTATGTTGCAGTGTAAGCCTTTATGTACTAAATGGGATTTTTATTGTTAGTTTATAGGTCAATAACCTGCAGCAGAAATTCATACTCTATTATAATAATGGCTTCTTGGGGCCATACTTTGGGGAGAAAAAATGTCTTTTGACATGCCTTTATACTTGGTGTGTTTATGACAGCTCAGCTGCATGTAGAGTTATATATATAGCCATGCCTGAAGTTGGATGCTAGTTTGTCAAAATGAGGAATAAGTGACTGCCTAGAGCTGCTGGAGAAAAGCCACCCTTTCTAAAAAGATATTATCAAAAACGTCTGTCATTCAGGGGCCTGGTTGATAGAGGGCTCCTTTTTTTGGTACAAATTGAGTACATTTACTCTGAAATATATAGAAACTGTTCTCCAAGTACCCCCTGCTCTGGTAACATGGAGGAAGTCCCACTCTTACACCTGGGTAGTTTCCGTGTTTAAATAGGTGCTGAGTGGGACAGAGCCTTCTTTCCCTGAAGTGCAGATGTCCCTTTTTCTCACGCTGAATGTAATGGCGGGCTGCTCTATCATGTTTCCTTTAAAAATTATAGTCCTCAACTGTGGTAGCTCCAGAATTTCTTTGTGGGTGGGTGTGATCTAGTTGGAGAGGGGGACTTAAGCTAAGTTTACATAGCACTTTATGTAAGATCGAGAACATGTCATTTGTCCATAACAAGGATAGGATGGGGCGGGGTGGGGGTGGGGAGTTGGCAGATGGAGATGATGAGGTGAGTAGTGCTAAAGTCAACTCAGCATCCTTGGCAACTGCCCTGGTCTCATGTAGTAGTGAATGTACTTCCCTTCCCTACAGGCTGCCCCCATAGCAGTGTAGAAGATACAATGTCTGTTGAATACAAAATGGCATTACTGAAGTGTTTAGTGATGAGGGTAGATTTTATTGTCATATGTGCATTCTTACCTAGTCCCGATAGTGTCTTGATGCACACATTCTAACATAATTTGTTAGATTTAAGGGAGAAATCCATGGACATAATTTTATTTTCTTTGCACTAAGCTCTGTGGTCCATGCAGAGAGTTGATCCTATGATCATGGCCTATTAAGACCTCTAAAATTCAGGCAGAATCTTCATGGCATGTTGCCTGACAGTTCTCCTTTTTGCCTGTGATAAAAATAATGTATACATACAACTTTACGTTTTAAACATCTCTATGTTATAAAAGTAGGCGACTGCTGTCATTTTACAGAGATGAGCAGCCATAGTTTAGTGACTTGCCCAAAGTCATATAATCAAGCCAGGATTAAAATCCCAGATGTTCATACTCTGCCCTGGATTGTAATCTTGTTTTTTCATTGGTAGACCTGTGTGACTCTGAAACAGTATGCTATGAATGTTTATCGTCTTTCTTGGGCATGCTTTTCTACATGTTTTGAATACTTTCAATAGAGATCACCCAAAAATGCCATATCTATCTATAATAAGTGGGGAAGAAAATTAATTCCCTTAGAAAGTAGCAGTTAAGCACCCAAGTACTTTACAACACAGGTTTGTAAATTAGGTTCCTCATTTTAAGCTACCATATGAGCACGCTTACGGAAGCATTAGCAGACTTATTCTGCTTGTTTTCTGTATAAATCAATTCCAGAGGAATAACCTTAGAATCAAGTGTATTTTAAATTTTAAGTTTTAAATCTTTTTATATGGTAAAATGTATAATGTAAATTAAGAAAAATCTGTTACCTTTTAACAAAAGCTACAATTTCAAAATCAGGTTTGTAATCTGTTGAAAAAAAAAATGATAGCATGACTTCCTTTGAGGATAATCCTTAAGCTCACATGTATTCGATCTGCTCAAAAGTAATAACTGAAACTGAGTTGCACCATTCTTATTTCAGGGTTCTGATTTATCCCAGCTGCCTACGCAATCTTCCTGTCTGAACCCTATTCTTGTATATTTTCCACCGAAGGCAAAAGTCGAGACATTACTACTATTATTCATAAAAAATTAGTTTTGCTTATAAGTTTAAGGGAATTTGAGATTGTTTTTCAGATGCAGTGTTTTAAAGGAACAACTTCGTTTGCATCAAAACTCTTGTGTTGTTTTTTGGTAAGAACTGTTCAGAAGAGGAAATTAGTAGCTGTTTATATGGTGCCAAATTTGGGAGAAACAGAATATGATCTTTATTGAGTGGTATGTGCTTTTAACCTTGAATTCTTTAGAAATCAAATGTAATTGAAAATTTCAGATGACATTATTTTGCTAGGCTATGAAACAGGCTGCAAATGAGGCCATTTGGGCAGCAAAATTACCAAAAGCTGAAATAGATCTAATCTGTGATACTTAATGGCATTCTTTGCTAAGTATTAAAACTCCATACCTAGAACAGGTAGTTAAACTATTTATGAATGCCAAGTAGATTAATCTGATATATCTTTGTATTTTGGAATAGAAATGCAATCTAGACCACAGCATTGGAAGTTCTGATGCTGCAAAGTAAAGGAGGAGAGTTATCCCGGAAGTCACTTAGAATTGAACAAGTTACAGTGGTACGAGAAAGGAGCTAGGCTGGCACTGTCATTGCTGATGTGATGCGTTCTCCACTTTGGCTCTAGGCGAAGGCTCCTGATGATGCATGATTTATTTCAGGTCTTTGCTTTATGTTTGCTTCATTACTGCACTCTAAGCCATATGCTTTTGGTTTCCTGGGAAGAAGGCTATGTAAAAATCTGAGCATTAGAAGCCATATTCAGTGTTCTGTATATCTGGTGAACCTTATCTGAACTGGAATGAGAACAGAGTGGCTTGCTTATGCAGCTGTGGATGCAGTCTCGTTAGGGGCGTAGCTTACAGGATGTCATCGTTCATGGGATGGCAAGAGGGATGATAGAAGCAGCTGTGTGCCTACTGTCAGCTCCTTCCTTTGTTAATGCTTGAGCTGTCCGTTTTACTTGTCAGTATTTTTCCTTATCTCCCACTCCAGTCATGACAGTGGAGTTACTGATGGTGGCAGCAATTAGGAAGGGTTTCTACCCCATCAGAAAATGTACAGAGGGGAAAGGTAAGGAAATTGGTAGGTTCCGCTGTTACCACTAAACATAGAGTAGCCCAGAGATGCTTTTGCCTACGTTAAGATCCTGGAACAGATGAATGTCAAATACCTGGAAATAGCAGCATCAAAAGAAATAAGGAAAATGAGTGATATTGCTGAAGAGTGTGGATTTTAAGGTTTTTAACAAGCCCAGCAAAACAAACTTATGGCCAAAAGGACTTTTTCTGCCACTACACAGACAAAAATACTTGATAAGGTTGCCAAATTTGGGGGAATAAAAAAATTTCAAGCACAATATTGAAGAATGGGGCAGATCCTGAAGATTTTCACCAAGGAAAGCAATCTTGGCAAGGTCCAGAAGTGAGAAGGCAAAGGGAAGAGAAGGGGGGAGATGCCAACCGTGAGCGCTCTAGAGTCTCTGGACTAATAGCATCAGCACATTCTTGTCCCTACCAGACCTACTGAATCAGAAGCTCTGAGGGTGTGGTCTGGCAGTCTCAGCATGCAACTGGGGACTCTGGTATGCACTGATGTTTGGGAACCACAGGCTTTGCCACAATTAAAAAGAACTGTTTTAATGTACTGGTATCGCCCTGACTCTGAGGTCCTCTTCTATTTCCCTTGTTAAGTATAGAGATGTTTTCTGTGTGATTCTTTGCAGGAACTGTTAATGTCTTTATTTCCCATACTTTTTCCCCTTGGAAGATCACCTGGAAATACTGAGAAAGGATAATGTGGAGAAAATGCCATCAAGGTCATACTTAGATGGATGGAAACAACCTTTTAAAAGTGGGTTAAAATATAACCATGAATTTTTAGTCTGCGAATGATAGTCATTTTTCACAATTGACAGTAAAATATTTGTGTAAGATATTGCCATCCATGATTTTATATTTGTTCATTATATCTTAGTTTCATGGGAAATTTTCATGTATTTTCTAGCATTATAATGGTAAAGCCTTTTAAAGTATGGCTCACAAAAATGAAAAAATTAAGTGGAAGAAAAACCACTGTGCATACGTTGTGTTTATAATAAATACCTGTTGTGTTATTGGTGATATTTTGCTGGGACTTAATCTCAGTACTTCAGAGCATGTAAGAATCAATTTTCAGTTGTCCCACTTAATCATACTTTGTTGTCTTTGTTTTACATTTTGGGTATTGCTTCTTCAGGGGTTGGGGACCAGTAGCAACAGCATGTTATTTTTTGTTGTCTGACTCATGGACTCAGCATTACAGAATATGGTAGGTACTCTAATCTTAAAATTTTGAAATGAAATCATAACTGCTTTTTTCTCCAGGTTTTATTTGTATGAATGGGGCTTGGCCCTAATTTACTACTAAAGCCTACGAACCCAAGTTCTCTCTTTCTGGGAACACGTGTGGCTAAGGGAAAGTTCTCTAGTATCATTTCCTCAGATGCTCATGTGGTTTTGTGGCTGGGTCTTAATTTATAAAGGTGATGAGTGACAGCATGGAGAGGTCAGTGCCATTGAAGGAAAAGTTTAATGTTACATTACCCCTAGAAACAAGAGGTACAGCTCGCCCTGCAGGACCACAGAACAAACACTAGATTTGAGTCAGGATGCAGAAGATGAGAGCAATTGATAGGTTTAGGCCAGAGCCTTTATTGGAGTTTCCTCTGGAAAGGCAAGGCAGGGAGGGTGAACAGGTTAGGAATGACTAGTTTGAATAATTCCTGGGCCTTTGGACTATATAGTATGGTCTCTCTAGCTGCCTGGTACCCAGCCCTGGGATGATTGCTTCCTGGGGTGTACAAGCCCCAGGCTCTGTCATACCTGGTTAGTTTGCACATCCAAAGCATGCTGCTGCCTGAGTCCTTTGCTACTTCTAAGAATTGGCTAGCCCTGGGAGCGGCAGTCTCTACCCAGCCAGAAAGGTTACTTAAGATGTCAGAACATTATAATTTACAGAAAATAAACGCGGTTAATACATGTGTGTAGGCTGTTTAGCTCTCAATTTTTGCACCATAGAATTTTTCTTTTCCATCTTGAAAACCAGTTAAAAGTACACCTGGCCAAAAACGTTAGTATTATTAGATAATATCAAGGTGTGGGAATATAAAAAGATTTTTAACATCCAAATTATGAAAATTAATGTTTTCTTTCTCTAGAAGTGAGTTCTTACCCTTGCTAATCCCTTATTTAAATCTTTTTAATGAAAAAGGAAAGAAAATGTCAGAGAACTTACAAATGGCCTCGGCTTTGACTTAACCCATTTCACTATGTATAGATTCTTTATCTTGCTCCTTCCAGTGGACCATGTATTTCTCCATGAAAAATGACTGCAAATTCCAGCCACCCCAAAATCATGGTGATATTTTGAATTGTCCTCAATATTTATCTCATTAAACCTCCCACCTATTGTCAGCGGCTACTATAAACTGGCCATTTCAAATTCTATCCTTTTCTCTCAACCTCAGCAACTAATCTCCCCCTTCTATTGCACATAATAGAACAGTAGATAGGAGCCCTCACTTATACTCTTCCTCACCCTTTTTTCTTGCAAGGGCTTCCCTTCCCAAGACAGATCCCTTCTATGTCCTAGGCCCCTCTCTGCTGATCAGATAGATGCCTTGCTCGATCTAGCTCAGTCTAGCTTCTCACTCCTGGCACGTACAGCTTTGCATTTAAACATGTTCAAAGACTCCCTCTTCAAACAAAAATACCCTTTCTCAACACTTTGAACCCCTGAGTACCACTAAAGTACTGCCCTCACTTGCACTTTCTATCCTTAAGTTCTTAATTCACTGAAGCAATGGTTTTTAACCCAGGTGACACCACCTGGGATAGTTTTAAAAATCCTAATTCCCCCAACTGAATCATAGACCAGTCATATCATGATGGGGAGGTGGGACAGGCTCCAGTCTTTAAAGCAATGTGTAGCTGGGGCTGAGAACCACTGTGCTAAAACCTGATTACTACTCTCGCCACCATTAAAAATTGTTCTTGCTGTATTCACCAGTGACTTCTAGTTGCCAAAATTTAGTCTTCAGATTGATTTTTATGACTTGATAACTGTGTAATCATTTCCTTTTTGGAATCCTTCCATTTCTGACCTTGCTCTACCCTGATTTTTCTCTACTTCACTCTCAACCTCCACAGGTGGGCAGATTGGTTGGTAGGTCAGTCCAACTCAAACAGTGTCTCTGTCCGCACCTCCAATACTTCAGTTAACACCTATGCGCTAATGAGTTCCTTTATCATACAACTTTAATGCACTGACTTAAAGCACAGATTTAGAGTAAAGCATTTACCTTTATCAATAATTATTGTAAACTAGCAAAGCATGCTCAAGGTCTCCCTCTGCTTCTTCCCTCACTCTTCTTCCTCCAAGCCCATTGAGATCAGAACAATTGCTACTCACATTAGGCAAATTCTAAGATGGAGCACCCCTACTTACTAGTGTGTGGAGTTGCTGTTCCTAAGAAGTCAAGCTTGAACTGTGGTCCCCTTTGCTTTTTCCTTTCCAGGATCTTGGACTGGAAAGGGCCCACATTTGCATGCTAGGAGGCTACCCCCATCTAATACTGTCTTCAGTTTTTTACTTTCTGCTGCTGGTAACATTTTAGTTTGGGTCTAGGGGGTGAGACAGACCCATTTCCTCACCACTTCTTGACCTTGGGTACCATGTTGGACCTTTCTTTATCAGAGGATTTTTTATCAGGGTTTCAGGCACAAGTTCTACTACTAATAAAATGGAACTTGAATTCCAACTTGACTGCCATCACTGCATACCGCCCCTGGAGTTAGTTGTAGTAGGGATTCTGCCCTCACCAGAAGGGACCTTGTGTATTCCTGGCTCCTTTGAATCCCTAGTTTCTGATTCAAAATCTAGGACAGGTGGATCCAAATAGTAGTCATGTGCCCATGCCCTAGCTATAGGAAGTAAGAATGAGGTTATCTGGAATGTTTAGCTTCTCTTGGGATGGATGAATTCCTCAAACATAGGAGGGCAGCTTAGATGCTGGAAAGCTGATAAGAATAACAAAGTTCCATTCGGGCCACTGCCCTATTCACTGATTCAAAAACTTTTTGAGTGGTTACTAAACCAATCTTCCTCAGTGATTTCTTGGGAAGAGGGTGGCTGCCCCAAAGCAGGATGTTCTTAGGTTCTTTAGATGTACTCTTGAAACTAGTTAAACCTTCTCCAGAGCCAATAACACCAGCAGCAACAATTTACTGAGGGATTATTATGTGCCATTTGTCAATAGCATCTCACTTAATCCTCAACACCTTCAAGGTGGTATTTTTATCTCTGTTTTAAAGTAGTCAAATATGCTTACAATTATAAATTGCTCCAAGTCACATGGTTAATCATTGTCAGCCAGGTTGCTGACTACAATTCTGTTTGATGCTAGAGTTTCTATTATCAGCCAATACACTACGGTGCCCCCTGTCACAGTAGAAATGAACTGCTGATGGCCATGTACATCTGAAATAAACTGTCTCTGGGCCTAGGGCTGGGTGTCTGGTGATACCCTTTTACTTCATTTACCTGTTGCTCCTGGTGGGCTTATTTCTTCTCTGTGGCATCCTCTTTAAATGACCTGTTCTTGTTTTTGAAAGTGTCTAGAGCAAAAGTCAATAAAATCTTTCAAACCTATGGCAAAAAAAGATATTGTCCTTTGTGTGCCAAAGCAAAACCGATCCATAAGCCAAGAGGACCTGTGCTTTGAGTTGTTATGGTAGTGACGGACTGTCCTGAACATGTCACGTGCTTAGACTGTTGCTAAACATTTCATAAAACTGCTAGCAAAATAGCTGTCTTAATAGTCTTGGCCTTTATAAATATAAATGTCCATTCAGTATATGTATATAGAACATTTTATGCCAAGCACTCTGTTAGCTGCTAAGTATATACAAAGAGGAAAGGCAT